ATAGTAAATTAAATCAGGTTAGCTATCCAATAACAATAACACAAAACCAATCAGTTTTTATATTCTTCAATTTTTATCTGTGGGCTGATTTTTGAATAATTTAAATTATATGAGTTACACTAACACTGAATTCTGGATAGATATCAAATGGTGTTTCCTAACATTTTCACCATGAGTGTTCATGTTGGCAGTTTTCCAGGAGCTGCAGGGCCAAACCTATTTGGCATATAAAAAACATAATATTTTTTAGTATTTGAATCTTCTCTGACAGAGAAATAGAAATTGCTTGTTCTTCTGTTGAACAACCCAGAATTGATCAGCTTTTTCAGCTTCAGTTCTGAAAAAGAATTGCTATGGCCTTCATTTTACATCTCTGTAGCTACACATTAATTCTTGGTGCCTAATCCTTGTTTCAATGAGGACAATGGCAAAAATTCCATTGATTTCAGTAGTAGCAGGATCCCTGAAGTACAGAGATTTACCCTTTTTATTGAATCCATGTCCAACAGCTGCTTCTTTCCATTTATGGAAATCCTGTACCAGAGATCATCACTAGTTTTCCATCTTGTCATTTCATATCAAGAATAAGACACTTCTGCAAGGTAAACAACAAAAGATGATCATGGTCTTGTTTAAAAATGGGACAGATAGCAATTTTGTAGAAAGACTTTTTTTTGTAAGTCCAAACGTGGCAATTACTAACCAGACAAACCATCTTGGAACACTGAGATAAAATAAATATTTTAAATAATCTGCAAGGTTATTCAAAGTATAACCAATTCTCAAAATACATCTTCATAAAATGAATGATCTGAAATTAGAGATGTGCAATGAGACTCTCCTCTTCCTTCCCAAATCTTTTGGCTGCTCCACAAAATGACTGCACCGCACCTTAAAGGAGGGTGAGGGCATTGTCTGGCTTGCTGGGGAAAGCAGAATATTTCTTTAAGGGTGGGGGCGAGAGAGAGGTATAGATGCTGCTGCAAAAGCAGAGTGGGTCAGTGTGGTGAGACTGACTCATCCCCCAGGGACCAGAAGGGATGGGAAGTTGATAAAGGGCAAGCCTAGTGGGAGAAGCCCCTTTTCCCTGGACCAAGTGAAGCAGCATCCACCTTCCCACCCATGGCAAAATACCAAGTTTTGGTTGGGACCCTCTGTGGGTGTTGTGCTAGCCACTCCTTTCTTGGGGGAGTTGGGGGTGGGAGAAGGAATTTTTCCCTTGCCACCAGATTGGCCAAGGTGGAGTGGAGTTTTCTTAGTCTTCACCACAACAGGTTTCAGGGGGAGGTTTTGTTTCGGTGACTAGGGAAGGGAGTTAGGCTAAGATGTCGCAATTCATTAGGTAAGTGTGGGGTGGACGTCCAGTACAGGTACTCTGTAGGGAAGGATGCAGTGTTCTGATAAATAGTTAGGTATGGGACTTAAAGGAGGTGTTTGTTAAAGAAGCAGAATGTGGGAGGGTGGTTTGGGGTGCCTATGACTGGCCTGGTAGGGAGCCAACTCCCCTCTTCCTTTATAGCCCACCTCAACCCTCACTTGTGGGGGGGGGGGGGAGAGGAATGGTAAGGTCCCAGCAATGGGTTGACTGGGGACCAGAATGTAAAAAGTGGGGGCTGACGGAAACTCTCAGGTAGATATTGAAATGATCATGGAGTTACCTGCACTGTACACTTTTATCTGCCGGGTTGTCCCAGACATCTAATAATAAAGTTGTAGCCTGATTAAACCATATCCAGTGTCTCCTGTCCTTCTTCCAGTATAGCTGGACAATAGTCTGTAGTCTTTTGTAGTCAGAAGGAGCGGTACCAGTATGCAGAGACTAAATAGCAACAAAGTTTTATATTTATATTTAAAATTAAAGTAGCTCTAGAAGAGTTGTTCTACTTGCTGGGTAGCGATTCCTAAAGAGAGCGAAAGTGGCCCTGTATTTTGCTATGAGAGTCCAAACTATTTTTAACTTTGGTTGAGAGGATCTGTAGGATTGCTAAAAGATGTTCCCAGGTGTTTTTACTGTGATAAATTATGTAAACGTTTTCAGCCTTAGGTTCAGTCCTTATATATTGAATCAAAGTAAATTCCACCAGTTGTGAAACTTTCCTTAGAATTAGAAAAAAAACAATTGTTTTCCAATTAATGCATTTATGAAATTAACCCTTGAGGTTTAGTGGCATTGTTATTTACTGCTTGTTTAGAGAAGCCATACATTCTGAATTAAAGTAGCAAAATGGAAGTGACTGCATTCCTGCCAACTAAGAGAATTTGTACCTAGACTCCTTCCTTGTAGGACAGTGATGATGAATATATTACCAGGGGGGTGATATCTATATTTTTGAGGAACATGCCAGCAGTAAAATGCTGCTGTTTCATGCTGTTAGAGCTAAAGGAAGTAGCCTCCCCCTGTTCATAATTAAGGAGATCTTGTGATATCTGCATAGAAGAATGTTGGGTCAGAGGCACAAAGAAAGCAATTAGACATGTTTGGAGGGGGGGTACTCAAAAACTGGAAAGACAGCGCATTTTCTACAGTTTATAGTATGTCAGATAATGAATTTGTCAAAGAATGTGAAGAATGCCACCAATGAAAGATTGCTTAGTGTTTTGTTATAATAGGCATGATCAAAACTAATCTTTGTGAATTAACAATACTTATTCTTTATTACTGTATAGTGTCTTTTTTTAGTATGGCTACTTGTGAAATGTGCTGAGTAATTGGTTATGAGTTTATCTGAGTGATCTATTTCTTTACCAGACATTCAGCATTCCATAGGTTAATAAGACTTTTTTTGCAAATCCCAGCTGGTTTCCTTGTGAAGAAATTCCTGTAGTTCCTGGATTCTCTAGGGAAAGTGGTGAACCACCCTGTGGTTTTCAACTGCAAAATGGATTGAAACTTTGTCTGCGATTATATGGTCATTTTTGTTTGAATATGAAAAAGACTGCTAAAATTGCTTTAGTTACAATACATAGTAGTATTGCTGTACATAGATGTGTAGTAGTAAATCCACGCAAAAAACCCAAACTATTTTAACTAATGAAGAATTTTATCAGATTGTAAAAGCTCCATTTGGTATAGTCTGTCTTACTGTCTGTATCTACAGATATACAGAGGGAACATTAATATGAAATACTGTCTTACTAAAATGGGTGTCAATGACAGCATGATTCGTTAAAGCACAGTACATTCCAATCTTGTGCATATTTTTAATGATTTGTTTAAATACTTTGGCAAAGTGATGGCTTGGACTGCATACCTTTATATCACAGTCAAATGTACCTACAATAGTGGAAACTTATTTAAATAGAATTCCATATTAAAAAAAAAATGTTTTCTTTTATTTATTTTTCTGGTTTACAAAAATGTATCCACTTCTCATGTGTCTGGGTGCACGTATAGTTTAAAAACACCACCAAATTAGTTAACCAGTGCTAATCGAACATGCATTATATTTCATCCCTCAAACCTAGAGTATATGTAATCCCAATTAAATTCCTGCTTTAACCTATTCAGGTAAAAATCTGAGAAAACAGATGGGATTTACATTGTTCTCTGAAGGTCAACAAACTTTAGTCATGCAGGGGATGTGACTTCCAGTGTCTCCAGATAATTAAATCTAGGGTCTGTTGAACAACAGCTGGCTCTGTTACGTTGGAAAGTGAGGAAGATCTGGTCTCTCAGATAGATCCAAATGGCATGCTGCCAAACTTTCAGAATCAAAATCAGCACATTGAATTACACCTGAGGACATGTAGGGGGAGTCAGTGCAGTCTTTGGATACTGGTGTAATGTGCTCCCTTTGGCTAGCCTCATTACGTGGGTGAGTTGCTATGCTCAGCAGCAGGTGTAGCTTCTATGTGGGCATCAGGTGTAATGCCATGTAGAATGTATTACAGGACTCTCATCTAGACATAACAAAACCAAGGTGACAATAGCAAGATACACATTCAAGAGAACAGCTGTGCTAAATAAGGATGAAAAAGTTACTATCTAGCCACTGATAGATGTATGTGAGACCCTCAGAGCAGATACAGTCACCCATCACCAGTTACTGGGATCTCACTGAAAAGTATTAATTGAACCACATGTGATCCTATCCATTTCTGCCAGGTCCACAGTTAGTTCAAGAAAACTTTGTGACCAGTGACATCAGACTTCTGACAGACTAGAAGGAGTCAAACATACCTACAATATGTGCATAATAGTGCAGTAATGAAGTATTTACCAGTTTTCAGTCTCTTTAAAGTGCTGTAGCATAATTTTTGTGAAAGACTAAAGCAGAGGATAAATGGCTAATTTGGCATCCTATTTATGCATATTGAATAGACTTAGGCCCTGCTCCTGCAGGTGACTTCAGAGGATCTCTGTATGTGTTCAGGGGGCGAACCCATTTACAGTTTTAGGTTCAGGTCCTTACTTTTTTCTTTTAAACAGAAACCAGTTATTTATTAATTTTCATACAGTTTGACAGAACTACATTTTTGATACAAAAATGAGGAAACAGTTATTCTCCTTCATGGCAATGTGAGGGGTTTTAAGTCAGTATTGTGGTACTTACAGAGAGGGATAGCTCAGTGGTTTGAGCATTGGCCTGCTAAACCCAGGGTTGTGAGTTCAATCCTTGAGGGGGCCACTTAGGGAACTGGGGCAAAATCTGTACTTGGTCCTGCTAGTGAAGGCAGGGGATTGGACTCAATGACCTCAAGGTCCCTGCCAGTTCTATGAGATAGGTATATCTCCATATATATTTATTTACTTTTTAATAATTACATCAGCAGAGTGTCTGTGCATATAGTGTTTTCTATAAAGCTGTTGGCATTTTCGTATAGGTAACTAAAAATAATGTGTTTGATTCTTTCAAAGATTCAATGCAATATATAATTTTTTTCTTTCTAAGCAATCTTGGTCCTTTAACATTCTAAAAATATTTCTTTGTAGGAATACTAGCCTTATTTATAAGAGATGCTTTTTTCTATTAATTAACTGAAGTGTATCTGTTTTCAAGGGAACAAAAGAGACTGAAGGTGAAGAAGAGGAGTCTGGTTTAATTCAGCCTGCTGAAGTATTTGCTCCCAAAAGCCTGGTGGTGGTGTCCAGACTAGATTATCCAGAAATTTTCAGGGTAAAGAACTCCCAGATGCCATTTGTAATATGTGTCAGTGTACAAATCTGTTTTTAATGAGCAGCAGTGACAAGTAGTTTTGATTTAAAACATCTCCGCATTGGTTTGGGAATTTACCAGCACAAGTAGAATTAGACTGTACTAAATAAAAATCAATGTCTAGGAGACTGAATGCCCCTCTGGGTTAATGCAGTGCCCTTTTACTCACAGAGGGCCTAGTTTTAAATCTACATAGACCACAAAATACACTCTTACTGATCTCAGCTAAAAGCCTAATGAAAAAAATCTTCATGACAAAACCACTCCTTATAGGTAAAATTAATCTCAAGTGATACAATTTGTTTAAGAATATTAAGAGTTAAATTTTAAGTATCAAGGATTATAGTATATGAATTATCTTCCTACCTATAAAGTGAGTGAATTAGAGACTCTTCCAGATCAATTTAAGATATATAAAGATTCTAAGGGATCTAAGATTTCTTTCAGTTGGTATTGTGACTTCAGGGGGGTTGGTGTGACATTTCTTCAACTGAATGAATTCTTTTGCAGAAAATTACTTTTTCTCCTTTTGGAATGTACTTTACCATATTAAGATTGTCCTAGGACATGTTTATTTTAAAGTTATTGTATATTTGTCAGCAATTATCACCACATAACAATTTTATATATTTATTATTCAACTTTTTAGGCTTGCCTTGGCTTGATCTACACTGTGCATGTGGACAGCCTGAATGTGTCCTTGGAGAGTCTCATTGCAAATCTCTGTTCATGCCTTGTCCCTGCGGCCGGAGGCTCTCAGGTAAGTGGAAAAAAGTATTTTTCCAGTTAATTTAATTTATGAAGAAAACAAAAAATAAATTCTTTAAATATTTTCATTGAAAAAAAGGATCATAGTTCAGCTGAGTGTTGTCCCTGTAGCCTGCCTTCTAAAGATAGCAAAAATTCCATTCCAGGTTAAGGTCAAAGGGTTAACTTTGTTACTGGATTTGCCTTTTACAAGGCATAGTAACAAATCAAGCAGTTTGTTATGAGTTCAACTTTTTTTTAATACTATGTGTTCAGAAATAATTTTGTTTTATGCATTTTTTCTTGGGGGCTCTGTTATGTGCCCTCCTTTTTCATTCACTTTGTGTATGTGTGATGGTATAGTTCAAGATTCCTTTGCCCCTTTAAGCCAATTGCTACTTCAGTGCTAATTGTTTCTGACTCTCATTTTTATGATGCACAAACATGATTATGAAGTAACAATATATTTATTCAGATTTCTGAAATGCAACTGAAGGTGTCCAAAATACTCCAAAAACTAAAAATTACAGAATAAGCAAAGGGGTGTCCATAAGTATAACTACCTCGTCCTCAGCAGTCTTAACGAAGAGAGAAAAAAGTTATTTTCAATACAGGTGTTGTCCAAACTGCAGGAATATAATATGTGGTGATGCTCTAAGACAAAAGTATAAAATAACAATTATTTAATGAAGAAATAAATTATTTATTCTTACATGTAGTTAAAATAGGAATAGCATATTATGCCAAGATAATGAGTGCCACCAATCTCTCTCTGTGAATGCACAACGCTACAGAGTTATCAAAGTTAACTGGAAGAATAAATAAATCTTCTTGTGAATTGAACTACAAGTAACTCCTATGCTGATTAATGTAACTGGTGAGTAATATATTAGAGCTGGAAGTCAGGTTGCCATGAAGATTATAGATTCTTGATAACTGACATTCTCAGGCCTGGTCATCTACAGTATCTACTAACCGAAAAATCTCTTATCATTTTTATAGAAATGTGATCTGTACACTATAAGCTAAACAGAGTAGTGGATAGTCCATTTTTCTAGTTCTAGTTTCATCAAGGATAATTGGGAAGATTTCTTTCAGGGTTTTTGGACTTTTCTAAATGAGGAAAAATTGCACTCTAAAATTTTAACTATTTTAGAGCTTCTTCAGGACCTAAAATTCTCTTGATGTTATACTAATTTCCTATAGATCTAACATAACCTGATTCAGTAATATTTATTATATCTGAAACTATTGACAAAATTACAAAAAGCTAACAAGCACTGAAAGGTCTGATTCAAATAAAGTAACTCTCTTTGATCTTTTTTTTTTTTTTATCAACACATCTTTAAGATTTTTTTCTTCCCTTCTTTCACGTTTCTTCATTGTCACCGGGTCTCCCTATTCTTTACCTTCAACATCATTGGCTAGTTTAGTAGGTATTTCTAGGGAGGTAGTCTTGTTGGAAAGCTGAGATGGTTCTTAAATTTTGTCCTGAAAATGGTGAGACTTATGGTCATTCTAATTATCTCTAATCTTCAGCATATGCTACTTATCAAGAGTGGAAACCGAGACCTTGGGGATGGGAACTAGATGGCATAAACCATAAACTTTTCATCTCTGCAGATGGACACTTTCCACCACACAACTCGGATTGATGGGCAGTCTGCCAAAGAGTCGCAGGTTTTGCAGTAGGAAGTCAAAATTCATATGCATTACCAGTACAGTGTGGAGGAGTTTACAGCTGATTCTAGCTTTACTGTTCCTGTTTCAGTTAGTGCTTTTAGTCTTTAACCTTTCATCAGCACCAAAATCACTCTCTCAAAATAAAATCTAGAAAGAAAAAAAAAAAGATCTTCAAATATTGATGTTACATTTCTCTAATATGCAGAAATGGGGAGCATTTTTGAACATTGGAGAAGCTATAATCTACATATGTGTTCCTTGGGTGAGAATCCAGGTCTTTGTTCAGTAGCTTAAATAGTGAGACATCCCTGAAAATTAGATTATAAAACTGTAATATCAGATTGCTAAATTGAATTTAGAATGCACGATCTGTACACTTTGCCTCTCTGCTCTCCTATGGGCCCTCAGTTTCCTTGAAGAAACCCTGCAGACTCCCAGCTCTTTCCCGTTTTGATTCCATGCTCCACTTTGTAGGCATCATCTATTAAATAGGAATTTCATCAGTCTGCCAGTGCCACTTCTTAATCAGATGAAAGGGTCACTGTTGATGTAAGATCCTCCCTTCTACTTTAATTCAAAACAGTATAGATCTGTGCTTGCACAGCATTCTGCCCTTTCTTGGTAGGGACAAGTGACTACGCTAAGGAATTCTCATGGAGCCTAGGTTCTAACATGACAGAGCAGACAACTACCACTACCTAGGTTGCTGGGGCTAACCCATGAGTTGCCTATTTATTTTATTTTACTGTGGGGGTTTTTTATTATTGCAGTGGGAGAAAAAGGTTTGGGAGACTATTAGATACCTGCCTTAGTTTAAAGGGGAAAGGACATAAACTCAGTGTCTTTTCCTCATACCTGTTCACAGCCCTTTTAACATTGGCTCAAACAGAAAACTACAAACAATATCTGTGAGGATTTCCCCACCACCAGCAATGCCATATAGATTAATTTCGCTTGGAGTTTTCTTTTCTCATGCCTAGAAACCCTTGTGCCTTCCTTTCAGATACACTAATTTAATGTGTTCTTTGACTGGTTCACACCTATATTCTACTTAGAGGTGTTCATGTCCAGCACAAGCAGAGCTGGAAAGTTTTCCATGCAGTACACAGTGGGGCAGTACACATGCTGCATGCCTCCTTATGGCCCGTGCTGAGGCTATTTAAGGGTGGCAGCGCCCCAACTCTCCTCACTTTATTCTTACCACCTGGGCCTGAGTCAGAGGTCTCCGTGTGGTGTACCTCATGGTTACTATGCAGTTAGCAATTTTTCCCATATGTGCTTTTGTTTTTAGTTTTCTGAAGTTAGTTGTAGTTTAGCAGTAGTAGCTAGCAGTTAGCAATAGTTTAGATAGTTTTAGTTGATTAGGATAGAGTCTGGAGACATGCCGCCACCACCAGGCTTCAAACATTGTTCCTAGTGTGGGTTAGATTTCCCAAACAGTTATTCCCACACATGCTACCTCTTATGCCTCTGTGAGGGGCACATCAAAGAGAAATGTGGTATTTGTCATTCTTTTAAAAAGAGAATACAAATATCTAGAGACTTATGCCTCAAACAGCACCTTATGGAACAGACGAGGTGGCCTGTTTTGCCCAATTCTCCAGCCGCAGAGCTGGGCTCTGAGGTAACCACAGTCTCAGACAGGTTTCTGAACTCACTCTTCTCAACAGATGAGAAGAGGTCGATCCTCTTCTAGAGAGCCACTATGAATAAGAACCCATAAAACAAACAGGAGACATTCCAAATCCAAAAAGGACTCCAGACTTCTCTGGGACTTGTCTGGAGCACAGTGTAGAGTCAGGCCTTCATCCTATCTCTCCCTGGTACGAAGATGAGATTGTATTGCTATTGTGCTATCGACTTCAGCACCACGGCAGGGTGTACATTGAGTTCAGTGCCAACAGCACCGGTCCTTTCGGACTCATCAATGCTGCAAGCTTTTAAAGCAGTGTCAGACCTCCTTAGCATTTCTGTCCCAATGGCACAAGACTCTTTAATTGAAGATATACCTTCAGCCATTCTGGGATGGAATGGAATACAATGACTGTACCAGTACTGGTTTTGATTCAGAGAGGCAGTAAAGATGCTCCCCTGACACTGACTTCAGTATTGCTCTCTACCAGATTGGTATAATCTTTGACTTTGAAATCTGTGACAATGGTTTATCATGCACCTCAAGTTTTGGCACCAAATTATTCATCTGTTATAATAATGGAGATATCCTATCTCCTAGAACTGGAAGGGACCTTGAAAGGTCATCAAGTCCAGCCCCCTGCCTTAGCAAGACCAAGTACTGATTTTGCCCCAGATCCCTAAGTGGCCCCCTCAAGGATTGAACTCACAACCCTGGGTTTAGTAGGCAGTGCTCAAACCACTGAGCTATCCCTCCCCCCAAATGACACCGGCACCACCTGAAAGGCCCCTTCCTGGCACCAAAATTTGAGAGGGGCCCTTTAACATATCGGGGTGCATCTTGGATTCCGACCACTGTACCAACCTTGGTGCCGATGTTGCTGACTTCCCTCTGAGCTGTTGACTCATTAGGATACCTGATAGCCCCTCCAGGCATGGCTTCTCCACTACCTCTGTTTTTTTTCCTCCAATTCTGACTCAGAATCATGCTCTTCGCCTTCCCCTCTTAGGTGAAAATTGAAAAGAGCCTCTGACATGTTTGTGGAAGGGGAGCATCAGTACTGAGAGCAGAACCACCTCAGTACTGGGAACAGGCTGCTTTGGCTGAGTCCGTACTGGCCTCCAATTCCATACTCACTGCATCTGTGAACCTATTGGCACTCCTGGGGAGTTCCTTGATTGTAGACCTGTTCCAGAGGAAAGTCCCCACACTAAGCCACCCTGAAGTGCTGCTGGTTTCACAGCAGAACTCATAGGCATCTTCTACTGAGCCACCACAACATCACCCTGAACCTGTGGCCCAGGTTTCAGTTGTGTTACAGAAAGAGCCCATTCCTCCTGTACCATTGTCGTCGTCTTTGTCTGAGGACTCTTTGGAACCGGATGATTTTAAGTTGTACCAGGACCTTTTAAGGAAGATGGCAGCAGCATTTGGCATTCAGGCTTAATGTGTCCAAGAGAGCATGCATAACCTTCTGGACATCTTGCAATCATCAGCCCCTGGGAGGGTTGCTCTTCCAGTGAACAAAGCAGTTTTGGCACCCACTAAAACTTTGTGGAATACGCTGGCTTCCACAACTCCCACTGCTAAGCATACAGAAAAACACTATCATGTTTCCATGCATAGCTGTGAGTGTTTCTATTCCCACCCAGCTCCCAACTCCCTTGTGGTCACTGCTGCCAATGAAAGATCTCATT